TTTGCCACTTGGGATTGAGATCCTTTAAATTCATTTAAATGCACCATTTTATATGAATGGCCAAAAGCTACAGATTCTGCTCGGTTTCTGCTACCAATATGCCGTCAGATTGCACGCGCGCAGATTCTGCTCGGTTTCTGCCATCAATCTGATGTCAAATCATGTTAGCAGATCTTGCTCGGTTTCTGCTGCCAATCTGCTCTCAAATTCTGTGAGCAGGCTCTGCTGGCAGATCATTAGCCTAATGCGGACATAACAGATGCCAAATTGTTAGCAAGAGCTGAGGAAATCTGTTGCCAATCTGCTAGCATATTGCGCGCATTTTGCTTACTGGGAAGCTAAAGCAAGAGAAAAAAAATAAAATATATCAAACGAACCAAAGAATTGGTCGTTTTTCTTTTTTCGGAAAGGAAATTCTAATAAACGGCTATTGAGTCAAGAATTTTAAATATCATTTATTAGTTTTATCACATTCTCAATCGACTACCATATAAACAATGTTCATACCGTTTCCTATCATTGCCACGCCTTCTCTTCAATTCAATTCAATTAAATTTTATTAACAAAATATCTCTTGGTGTATCACGAACTTATTACGCTTCTACTGTGATTTTTTTTTTTAACCACGATGTATATTATTGGTATATACAAATATATAGATCAAAGGAAATTCACAAAGATTTCGATCGTCATAGGAGAAGAATCATTGTGCTTGCCGATGACCCGAGTATAAGACGCGTGAAAGATTAAAATCGTACAAAAACAACAGAAATAATAAACTAACTATTGTCCCAAGTTCATTCGGTGGTGGAGATAGCGCGCGCGGAGACAGTCTTCCTAAAGTACTTCACGTATATATTATATGTATGCGACAACACTTTTTTTTTCCTCTAATTACATAAGCAACTCGCGTACAAAAAATAGCGCCCATCCTTGTGCAATCACATGATCACGCATAATCGATAACTAAATAAGACACGAATATAGGACAAATCGTATGTTTAATGCGCCGCGTTCGCTGTAATACTCTCTTATGTCTATCTCAAAATATGCATACGTCGATCCTTCGTAAAGCCAATCATTCTTAAAAAAAAAAAATCATTAATGAAGAATAAAATATTTTTAAGTAACACACTTTGTGTAAATAATATTCATCAAAATAGAATTTTTCCTCTCTCTCTTTCTCGCATCCTATTTTACACGCTTTCTTTCAGACATAGGCCGCAATATATGTATGTAAAGACTGTATGCTATGTTACATAGTTAAGCTTCCGAAGCTCGCCGAGCCTGATAGGACAATATTGATATGCCGTTAACATCGCCAAATCGAGCGTAATAACAAAGAGGTAATAAGCTCTGCGTGATCCAACATCATCGAAAGGACATCGCAAACACATTGGCACATTTTAAACTCTATTTTATCTTTATTCCGATTATATTCTTCAATGCGCGACATCGATTCGCGAAAGCAAATCAACACGCGAATTATCTCGATTATTATATTTCATTACAGTATAGAAAGCTTTTCTTTGTTTTCTTCTATACTTTATAACTTTTGTTTCGCGATAATGTGAAATGGGAAAGG